CATCTAGTGACAAAAAACCGCGGATACTTTTTAGATGACCCAATAAATCTCTGCCTTTTTCATCTATGAACTAATACTTCATAAGGAGGAAGCTACCAACTGTGAAACGCTAAACATGGGTATTTATAGTTTGTCTTTATTTTAAAATATTTTTATTAAACGAAGCATCGTTGAGATTTAATACGCGACACCAGAGGGACTTAGCGAGAACTTCTCGAATTTAAAAAACCGGACAGACTAGGATAAAAGACATAACATTGAAAGTTATGTTCTAATGAAATAATTTTTTGAAGTGAGCCTCTAAGGCTTCTAAAAAGAAAGCATAGCACTTTTTTTAGGCATTTACCGAATAAATGAAATATATTTTAAAATATTTGCTTATCAAGGACCTCGATTATATTTCATTCACGTTCGTCTGAGAACTCGATGAGAGAACTCCGTTTACGTTCTCTAGATTGTCTAATCACACTCTGTTTACAGTTAACGAACATTCTACTCGTGCTTGCCGAAGAACTTATCTATACTTTCATTTATGTTTCTTCAACGTTTAGTTGACGCTTCCTTTTCGTTCCATGTTTCAATTTTCACTTCGGGTTTCATTTACGTTTCTGTTACTCTCTCCTTACACTTTACACTCCGCAATTAACGCTTTATTTATTGACATCGCTTTACATTTTATTTTCATTAGGATATGCATGAACAATTTTTTGCCATATTTTATGTTAGGGTTCTTCACTGAATAACACGTCTAATTATTAACAGAATATCTTTCTCGTTGTTCTTATTTATAATATAAATATAATTTTAAGTTGCAAGTGGCTTGTGTCTGAGCTATGGTTCACATCCGTACTAAATGAATTAATTACTATACTACATATATACATATATAATAGCACTAATATTTAAACGGTTCTAGGTGAAGCTTCGCAATTACGAGCTGAAAGAATTCGATTTAAGGTTGGATGCTAATCATGCTAATGGATGCTACTTTGTCTAAATAGGAATTTTTCAGGAATTTAATAAATAGCGTCTAAGGAATGAGAGAAAGGAAGTTTTACATTCCATTTTGGTGTTATTTTACATTTTTAAGTTAGTAGTTCGTATCCATATTATAGTGATACAGATATGAATTTCTCAATTAATTACAATTAACCGAATGACTCGCAAACCCTTTCAATTGCACTTAAAAATTCTTCATATGAAATACAAATGTTTTGGAATAGTAATTCTTTCAACCGGAGTACTTGTTTGATCAAGTACATTCGAATGCTTACATCGTGTATATATCTACGTGAAATCGCACCTTAATATTTGTTCTATTATGAATAAGCCCTTACATTATACATATATATATATATATATCAATGACATATGCTCATATGGTTGATTCATGATGCACGTGGTTTCTTGTGGTCTCCTGTGATCTCCCGTGGTTGTGACTTGCAGTGACTTGTGATAGCTGTATTTTTCAAATAAAATGTCGGTAGAAAACGAGGAAGACGTGAAGCTGTTTCAAACAATTGGCCTGAGTGAGCAAAAGGCCAAGGAATCTTTAAAAAATGCTAACATCACGAAGAATCTCAAGCTGGCTATAAACGAGGTTGGTGAAGACTCACCGGCGAATTGGCAATCTTATTATGATTGGATGTTAAATATCATTGAGCTTTCTGTTTTCAAAATTAATTATTATAATATTTATAATGTCCGTTTCTACCAATGTAGTTTTTTTTAAAAAGTTCAATTGATTCTTCATCTTTTTTTAGTTCTAAAAATTATTTCAAAAAATGAAGAATAAGCTGAATCGAGATTAAAGTTAATCTACACTGGACCGAGATTAAAGTTAATCAATACTGATAGAAACGAAGATAAGAAATATAATTATCTATATATCATGTTGCGATTCACTAGAATTGTTGCATCATCCTTCCTTTGATACATGTCATACAATAATATACATTTTGTATAATATTTATGTTTATTGAATTGTATCTTTTATTTATTTAGACTCAGCTCGATCAATATAAAATTAATTGTAATCTCGGCTGAATTTACTATTTATTTTCTTCTAATTCCAAGAAGTTAATTTTGCATTGATGAAACCAGGTTATTGGCAAGATATACAATATTATTATTAGGATTTGTTTATTTAGGATTTATATTTCGTAGAATTAATATTTTTTTAGAGATAATTAAATATAGAGCTAGATATTTCTCAAAATTTCTGAACTCTAATCTCAAAATTATATAATCAAAATTAATTAAAGTATTTCTAACAAGGGAATCACACGAAGTGTGATTAAATTATGATTTTAATGAAACTTTGTATACATATAGCTTAAAAATAAAAGAATGAATTTAGAAAATATTAGTTGCGAAAGAAAGAGAAAAACCGTTTGAAGGAGTGAAATCATCCCTTATAGGTAATGCGAGTTTTAGCTTCTTTTCATTGTATCTTAAGAACTATTCGAGATATCAAAAAATGTTTTATACAAAACTTTTATAGTGTAATTATTTCTGTTCAGCCATGTTAATATTTTTTTTTATTTAAAAAAAATAAATTTTTTTTATTAAAAAAATTATTAAAAATATTTTTGAATACATAAATGAATAAAGATAATCTTGTTGTAAAGCTTTTGTATAAAACATTTTATATCTTGAATAGTTTTCGAGATATAACGGAACAAACTGGAAATTGCTTTACTATATAAGGGGTGATTTCACCCCTTCAAATCATTTTTCCGCACCAGACATTTTCTAAATTCACCTTTTTATGTAACTTATATGTACAAAATTTCATTAAAACCAGAATTTATCACTTTGTGTGGTTCCCTTGTAAGATATGTATAATCAATACGTTATTGTGATTTATTAGAAATATTGCATCACTATTCTTTGTTTAGACATAGCTTACAATTTACATTGTACATTTCGTGTGATATGTTTTTTTTATATTTATATGATTTCAGCTTTTATTCATTTAATGATAAAGTGTGTATCATTAAAATTGACTTCTTTGTATATTTAGAATTTATATTTAATTCTTATAGGCAACTAAATATGGAGCTATTACTCAAGATACTGGCATATTGCTGTATCATCTAGCTTCAAAAACTAAAAATCAGATCATAGATAAGATACCATTTATTACTAATTATATAGTCGAGAAGAAACTAGATAGTGTACAGAGGATTGATACTGCATTGGCTCATCTATTAGCTAATGTGGGTAATGCTATTGATATAGCTAAGTTTGAGGAATCTTGTGGTATAGGAGTAATAATTTTACCTGAACAAATAGAAGAAGAAGTCGAGAAGATTATAAAAGTACACAAAGATGCAATATTGGAAAAAAGGTAAATAAATTTTTATCTTGAGTATGCAAAACATAGGAAACTTTATAATAAGTTATTTTATAGTAAGTAATTACAATTTATTTGTTACTTGAATAGGTACCGCTTTAATTCTGGTCCATTGATGCAACAAGTACGTAATATTTTGAAATGGGCAGATGGTAAAGCGATAAAGAATGAATTTGATGTCCAACTTCTTGATCTATTGGGTCCAAAAGTTGATGCTGATCTTGCACCAATACTTAAACAAGTGAAACCAAAAGACAAGCAGACGAAAGTGAAAAAGCTGGAAAATGCAAAGGAAGGTGAGCTATATACCACTTTTTAAAAATATTTTAGATATTTACGTTCAACAATAGATTAATACATTATATCTATTAAGCTAAATGTCAATATGAGCACAATTACGTGAGATATATACGAAGGATTTAATTTTTAATTTTCAGAACAGGAGTCACTGAATGGTGAGAAGGGAGGCGCCCAAACTATAAGCGAATTCATGAAAACTAAAACTCAATTTCATAAACCTGGAGAAAATTATAAAACCGATGGATATATTGTAACCCCAAATACACATTATCTACTGCAAAAACATTTGAAAGCAACTGGTGGCAAAGTGGTAACGAGATTCCCACCGGAACCCAATGGAATTTTGCATATTGGACATGCAAAAGCTATCAATATCAATTTCGGGTATGTATATTCTTTGATTTTAAAAGTGAAATATATAGTAAAAAAGATGACTCTCATAGATATGCTGCTGCTTATGATGGCATATGCTATTTACGATACGACGACACAAATCCTGAAAAAGAAGAGGAGAAATTTTTTGTCGGTATACGGGAGATGGTGGAATGGCTCGGTTATAAACCAGCTGTGATTACACATTCATCGGATTACTTCCAGCAACTGTATGACTGGGCCATAGAGCTTATAAAGAAAGACTTAGCTTACGTTTGTCATCAATCTAGTGAAGAAATGAAAGGTTTCAATCCTCCACCGAGTCCTTGGCGCGATAGACCGGTTGAAGAGAGCTTACAACTATTTAATGTAATGAAAAATTTTTCTAAACATTGTTCCCTTCAATTTTTATTACTATATATGCATTTGTCTATTTTACTTGTTAAAAAATAGGATATGAAGGATGGTTTGTTGGAAGAAGGAGAAGCGACCTTACGCATGAAAGTGACTTTAGAGGAAGGTAAACAAGATCCTGTGGCATACAGAATAAAATATTCGCTGCATCATCGAACTGGTGACACATGGTGTATCTATCCCACATACGATTACACCCATTGCTTGTGCGATAGCATCGAAAATGTCACTCATTCTCTCTGTACAAAGGAATTCCAATCACGGAGATCGTCTTATTATTGGCTTTGCAATTCCTTGAGCATTTATTGTCCTGTACAATGGGAATATGGCCGATTGAACGTCAATTATACTGTAGTTTCCAAAAGAAAAATTGTCAAATTAATACAAGAAGGAATAGTGTCTGATTGGGATGATCCCAGGTATAATGTAATATTACCTTTATAAGATTATTTAATGTCTTATTAATCTCTCATCCCTCTTTTTTTTTATATATAGATTATTTACATTGACTGCGCTACGCAGACGTGGATTTCCACCCGAAGCTATAAACAATTTTTGCGCTCAAATGGGTTTAACTGGTGCACAAGCAACCGTTGATCCTGCAGCATTGGAAGCAGCTGTTAGGGATGTTCTAAATCTTACTACTCCCCGACATATGGTAGTTCTAGAGCCTATCAAATTGACTATTAAAAACTTTCCTCAAGAGAAAGCCATAAAGCTCACTGCACCCGATTTTCCTAACGAGCCAGAGAGGGGACATCATGAAATTATATTTGATGAAATTGTATATATTGAAGCTACGGACTTCAAAGAAGTATGTAATGTATATGCCTATCTCTTTCTAAACACTTCGCTTATTTATCAATACTTTATTTATTAATACTTTTTTATTTATCAATACTTATAGATTGAAGAGAAAGGTTTTAGGCGCTTGACACCAAAACAATCTGTAGGCTTAAAGCATACGGGTATCATAGTAACGTTTGAAAGTATCGAGAAGGATGCCAGTGGTAATATTACGAATATAATTGTTAGAAAAGATCCTGTTTCAGAAAAGAATAAACCGAAAGCATTTATACATTGGGTGTCCCACCCAGTATTGGCATCTGTTAGATTATACGAACGTTTGTAAGTAATATTTTTTCCAAATTATTAATTATTATGAAAGTTTCTTTATTCTGTAATGTGATTAAAATATCTTTAATTCCCGCTCCCCTCCCTCCCCCTCCTCAGGTTTAAGCACAAAAATCCGGAAGATGTACATGAGGTACCGCATGGATTTTTGAGTGATATTAATCCATCTAGCAAAAAAGAAATTGTAGCGTATATGGACAACAGTCTAGCTGAAACAGCAAAAGTGTATGACAAGTTTCAATTTGAACGTATAGGCTTTTTCTCTGTTGATCCTGATACCAAACCTAATAAGGTAAATATAAAAGCATTAATACACATGTACATTGCATTAACATTTTCTTTTATTTCAGCTTGTTTTTAATCGTATTGTAACATTGAAAGAAGATACAGGAAAAGTGTAAATATATATTTCAATACTATCATCAAAAATATCTGTACTACTATTTTTACTACTGTTAAGATCTAGAGCTAAGAATATATTGAGTGGATCCATATATTCGATTTTTGAAGGCTAAAATGAAACAAGTTTTTTTCATACAAAGAATGAATTTTAATCAATGATATATTCTCCGTTTTTGTTGATGACCTCTTGCCATCTTTCCAACAATTTCATTATTCCGCTCTCATAGAAGGTCTGGAGCTTAGAGGCGAAAAACCGGTCGAGGTACGTTTTCACAGCTGTCTGATCAGCGAACGATTTCCCGTTGAGGGAGTTTTGCAGGGACCGGAACAAGTGGTAGTCGAATGGCGCAAGGTCTGGTGAATACGGTGGATGGGGCAAAACATCCCAGCTAAGTTGCACTAATTTTTGCTGAGTGATTATTGCGGTGTGGGGTCTGGCGTTGTCATGGTGGAATATGACACGATTGTTCTGGACGTTTCTGTCGCAATGCTTGATTCAATTTCGTTAGCTGCGTGCAGTAGACCTTCGAATCGATCGTTTTTTCCTGAGGAAGCTCGTAAAACAGCACAACATGATCCCACCATATGGATAGCAAAATCTTCGGATGCAGGCCGGCCTTTGGGGTGGCATTCGGCTCACCAGCGGTTCCCCATGATCTCTTGTGCACTATGTTGTCGTAAATGATCCACTTTTTGTCGCCAGTCACTATTCGTTTGAGAAACGAGTCGCTTTCGTGCCGCTTTAGAAGTGAATTGCAGATGGACATGCGGTTGGCCAGGTTCTCCTCGGTCAGCTTGTGCGGCCCCCAAACATCGAGGCGGGACACGTAGCCAAGCTGTTGCAAATGCCTTTGAACGGTTCTATAATCTACTTTAAGTGTTTCCGCAATCTCTCGCACCTTTAGCGTTCGGTCTTGCTCAATCAGTGCCTTGATATCTTCCTGCCTTCATTCGAATCAACCTCGGTGGGCCGACCGCTACGGGGTCCATCTTCAAGACTCGTATCTCTGGAACGAAATTTAGCAACCATTTCTGAGTGGTACGTTCTGTTAAGGCATCGTCCCCGTATACGCCGCATATCTTTCGGTGGGCCTCCGCAGCTCGCTTGCCTTTCTTGAAGTAATAAAGTAAAATATGCCGAAAATGCACCTTATTCTCCGACTGTTCACAGGCCTGTAGCACAAACAAAACTAATGCCAATGAAACCAAATTTGACAGATGAAAAGAGCGGACTGTCACCTTTCCAAAACATATTTGGATTGCCCGATTAGGCAACCAGAACCGGAGATATTCGGAAAAAATTTGTACTAACAAAAACCGAACGAATATATGAATCCACTCAATAGATTTTTGTAAAAACATAAAGTGTAAGAAAATCAACCAATCGGAATCTTTATTTTATCATGGAAAGGACGGAATTGAAGGACTTTGGTTCATTTTCTTATGCATTATATGTTATGCAAGGCTCTGTACTCCCGTTCTGATACGCTTTTTTTTATTCCGAGACAAATGCGTGCTGTTTCTGTCTAACAGGAAAGGCGGATTCATGTGTATAAGATTTATGGTTATATATGTAATATATAATATTATTTTCAAAATTTTTATAATATATATCATGTGTCGATATATCTTTTTCACTATATTATATCTTTATGTTATGTATAACTTGCTACATAAAAATTTGCAAATATTTTGATTTTGATAGTTACATTTTCATGAATAAAGAATAAATCTATTAAAAGGATTACAGTGTAATTTTCTGCCTCTATTAATTCATCATACAGGATTCGTAGGTGGGAACCATGTATTTAATATTTATGAAAGCATCTTCGCCACCATATTTTTCCAAGATTTCAAGTGTCTCTTGTATAATGTCAGCAGCGTTCTCTCCTCTTTGCTGAGAATAATCGATACCTTCGCCAAGGTTTACTGAAATTATATATTTTATTTCCAATTGTATACGAATATAGGAAATATTAAAATACGAGTAAGTTACGGTAAGAAATGGTAACTTACCATTTCTATCTTTAAGTAAATTTGGAATAGGCAAGATTTGTCTAAAATATGGGACTAAAGTTTCACCAACGCAATCGGCTGATCGCACTAAACGTTGAATTGCTTTCATCGTGGAACAAATTATCTCGGGCATTCTTGTATTCAAAGCATCTAACAAAGTTTTTTTAATTACAGTACATTTTTTCTACATTAAATTGGATTGTAGAACTTACTCTTAATAGGAATAATCAATTGAGGAACAACAGGTAATATCTTTGGTCCACCATGTTCTAGCATATCTGATATTCCTTGCTCTGCCAGAAATTTGTACGGTTGTTCCGTTTCCGTTAATCCATCGAAGAACAGTGGCAAATAATGATGAAAATCTAAATCTTCTATGTCCACTTTCCAATTAATTTTCTGATCGTAACCGTTATTCTCCAAAGAGATAGGGAATATACCGCGCTTGTAAAACTTCCTGAAAGTCGATGGTTTCGGTAGACGAGGTTTATATAGTCCACATCGCGGCGGTTTCGCGACGATCGTGTTTTCCTGTGATCAAAAATTAATTTATTACATACGGTATTATCGTGCTATATTTATCTTGATCACTATATTTATCTTGATCATAGTGAAAATTTCATCCTGTATTTCAGTATCGTCATTTTTTTAGATCCAACTCCAATTATAACTTGATGGAAGAATCACTTAAATTACTTAAAATAATATCTTTAATATACAGTTCATTGTTCTTAATATTTTTTCGATATATTAAATTCTATTAATTAATTGGATAATTTTATTCGTATTTCTTAATAAAATAGATCAAATTAATCGGAGTTGCTGGAAATGACTCTTAACAACATATTATTACCTGCAACGCCTGAATAGTGAAGGCAGGAACTACTCGTGGTTTTTTCTTTTTGTATCGTGGTATATCTTTCCGAACTTCTGTCCAAAATTCTTTTTCATTCACCATCCCGATACTCGATATCTTTTTTTCAATTCTAAATTCAAATTATACATTGAATATTTTATTCAAATATTGTACATATGAAATTATATGCGCGCGAAGATGTAGGTAGGATTATAGGAAACGGATTCAGATCAAACAATATTGTCTCCTAGCAACAAAATTTCTATTGACATCTATTTCATGATATAAGATATGATGCACATGTCTACTTGTATCATGGATATAAGAAAACATGACATCTATTCCATGATCTATTCAAAATATTCATATCGTAGATACAAAGTCACTTTATAAAAGTACATAATATCCTTATATATTTATATAAAAAAATCAAAATAAATTAAATATTTTATGCATAAGTGATCATAAGAATTAATAATAACATGAAAGGATATCTTTTTTTTATCAAAGTGAATTATTTCTTTTTGTCAGTAAATGTAAAATATTTTATTAATATTAGGTTTGCAATAGTGGACGCGGTTGTATTCGTGGAAGTCGTTTTCCAGAATGCAATGGTTTGTGAAATTGTGGATCATCAAATAAAAGTTCCTTTTTGCATGGTTCGTCTTTGTCTGCCGTATTTAATTATTAAGGAAAATAACTCTGTGTGCACGTGCGGGTGTAGATGTGTATTCAGTTACATGTGTCATCTATTTTTTTATGACAAATATAACAGTTAACGTTTCATATATAAAGTAATAAAAAGGATATTTGTGAAGCAGCTTGAATATTCCTGTGCCTAGTGGAACTGGAATACCCATTATAATTGATTCCGATACGCCGCTTATAACGTCTTTTTGTCCATAATAAGCTGCATCAAATAGATGATCTGCAGTTTTCTCAAACTGTAAATAAATAACTGGTTTGCCAAAAGAATTTCCAATTGTTCTTAATACTACTTAAATTTAAAGACGAAAAACAACAATAAGCTCAATTTAAAATAATGTAGAAAATTAGGCAAATGAGAGTTCGGTGCGGTACTTAATGCACAATCATTAATTCTATAAATAAATTATATTTTTAAATTGCTGTACACTTGTATTGCAAGTCAAAAATATAATTTATATATATACATACTAAATTTCCTAATTATTTTAATTTCAAGAGTCCCCCCTCCCCATAATCAGTACTTCTTATCAATTTAATAATTCTATATCGTATTATAAAAAAAGTACGCAAAAGAATGAAACAATGAAAAATAGTAAATCTCACCGATGCTAAATTTAAAACCGATTCTTTCATTTTTGCCAAACCTTGTCTCGTGATACCGAGTACTTCTCCTCTACTAGTCATTAAATCTGCCAAGAGCATTAAATGTCGACAATCAATACTGATACCGTGATTTTCCATTACCGATTTAATTTCTGACATGATAGTCGTTCTCGCTGCTTCTATTCCGAGCGTTTTGAAAACCTAAAATAAAACATGATTATAAATATGTTTTATTCACTAGCTCATGATTTCTTTCAACTCACTTCTATTGTATTATTCGACTTTGTCTTCTCACCGAGGATGCCACGTGTTGCCATAACTTCTCTAAAATTATCACCTTCGACAAATAATGTAAATTTCGATTTACTACCGAGGTTTTCATTATGTACAACTACTCGATTAATCGATGGTAAACCCTACAAAAAAAATAAATAAATAAATCAAAGCGGATATTAAATTTCTAAAACTTATAAAAATTTATCTCATTATACATTTTTACCTTTATTATAACATTTGGAATGGCCTCTGTCAATTGACGAAATGGAAAATTTGAGTCTTTATCTTTACTTCGATTTGGTCGAATAATAATAACTGAGTCGGTCACCTTTTCTACATTCTTTGAAGTTAATTTCAATTTTGAAGTGCAGAGTCTAGAGAATCATAAATTATTTATTATCTTTCGAAAAGTATAATGGCAGCAAATTACTCTTAAATTTAAAGTATAATTAAAACTCTTGTTTTTTTTTCATTGTATTATATTAAGTTTTGACATTAAATGAAAGAAATCAAGTGAAGTTTTGTTCTTGCGAGATACATATGTTGAAATAAATTAATTAATAGTTGCAATGAAAAAACGAGAATCTTTAGCTTTCAAACATACTTACTTATAGCATACGGAATTAACATCAATTTCTAATTTCAACATTTTAATTCTATTGATATCTAATTTTATTATAAGGAAATGATCATCAGGCAAATATATTTCCTCGATATATTCAGATACATCTCCCAGGGTCGTCTTCTCAATTCGTGCCTTCACTTGCTCGGCAATCTCGGAATTCGCATCATTGATCTGCAAAATAAAGAATTAGTTGGTTAAAACTGTATTCGATGGAATACACATGTGTTCAGAGTAATTATTCACCAATGTCGCTGTTATGATAGGAGTACTGATCTTGGGACTCGCATTAATAATTTCTTTAATACGGGGAACTCCTTGAGTAATGTTCATAGCAGCTACACCAGCAAAATGGAATGTTTTGAGTGTCATCTGAGTCCCTGGCTCACCGATACTTTGAGCGGCGAGCGCACCTACAGCAGTACCCGGTTCTATCTTAGCTCTCATGTACTTCTCTTTGCACGTGTGAATAAATTCTACTAATTGTGAGACGGTAAAACGTTCAAGTTGCGAAGTCACTGATGAATTCGATATAATGTTTTGCCGATAAAACGCTATTTTTCGTGCCACTTTCAATTTCAGGAACGAACTACAAAAACAACTTTTAATTTGTTTAAAGCTGCGCTACAGAAGTTCGCCATATATCATATATTTATCATACATTTATCATATATTTATCATACATTTATCATATATTATCTTACGTCAATTCATCTTTGAATTCCTCACTCAGGCACTCATACTCTTCAGAGCGTAGCATTTCTTTTGTGGCATTAATTACGCTAGCATAATCTAAAGGCTCTTCGGTAATATAAGGCATTTTCGCTCTCACATGCTCGTATACTCTTTCATAATCCACGGGACAGTCTTTACCTGTAGAAAAATATGTATTATTCTATTTACACAAAATACATAATATTGTAATATGTATTATACATAATAATACATACCCTCCATGTACGTAGGATCCAATCCATCACCGCCATATGTAGTCTGTATCATATCGCGCATAGAATTGCGTACTGTCATGTCGTAATGAATACACA